TTTGAAAGTATATGTATGAATCTATGAATGAATTTTTTAAATCATTTAATTTTATCCTTTAAGTTAATATTTTATATGATATGTGAATCATATCTATATAGAGAGACTGGAAGTGGAATAAGGCACTCACATGCAGGGACCAGCTCTACACTTCCACAAACATGAGAGCAAGTTCCTCCTTACAATTTGCTTTCAGGGTTTATCACTCTGCTTCACTCTATCCCTGCTGTGTCTGCAACCATTCTTCTTTATTTGTTGTTATGTCTCTTTGCATCCGAAGAGGCCTAGAAGGAGAACATTGCTTTCATAATTTTTCCTTCACACACACAAACACACATATACATTCTTTTCTTCATTTTTTTTTTTGAGACAGGATTTCTCTGTGTAGCCCTGGCTGTCCTCATTGTGTAGACCAAGCTGGCCTTGAACTCACAGAGATTCACCTGACTCTGCGTCCCAAGTGCTGGGATTAAAGGCATGTGCAACCACCAGCTGGTTGGTTAATTCTTTCCTTAATGAAAAGCTAATTAGGGTTTATGACAAGTATCTCTGTAAGCAACAAGAAGAGAATACATTCTTTTCATAGTGGTCACAAAACAAAATGACAATTTCTTTAAGATTTAATGTCTTGGTTGGCAGGCAAGATGGCTCAGCAAGTACTTGCCACCTAGCCTGATAATCCAAGTTCCATCCCAAGGATCCACAGGATGGAAGGAAGGAATTGATTCCACAGATTATGCTGACCTTTAAAGACACATATGCTGTGGCAACACCCCCCCCAACACACACACATACACATGTCATGCATATACACACAATAATAATCATATAATTTTAATTTTAAAAGGATTTACTGTCTAGTTCCTGAGTTTTATTAACTGGTACCATCTCCAGGACCTGTGAGGTTTAGAGAGGATGGTTGTGATAGCTTATCTTGGTTGTCAATTTGACTGCATCTGGAGTCCAATAAAACATAAGCCATTGGGCACTCCTGTGAGAAATTTCTTTGATTAGATTATCTGAAGCAAGAAAACCCAGCCTAAACATGGCCAGCCCAGATAAAAAGACATAGAAGAAGGAAACTTTTTTTCTTGTTTGCCTTCATTCTTGCTGGTAAGTTCATCTATCCTGTAGCTGGTACACTCCTTCATCAATATCAGAACCTTAACAGAATGAGAGCTTCCAATATTTTAATTATATTTTTCAAAATGACAAGGAAGTATACTTCTTTTACACTTGAAGTTTTTTAAATGTAGAAATAATTTAAAATTCATAAAAGTACCACAGAGAATAGCCGTGTTTGTTTTACCCAGATTTATTTATTACTAACATTTTACCCATCTGTTTTATTATTTATTATTTATCTAGTTATAAGGTATGCTTTATATATATATATATATATATATATAATACAAGTATGCATACACACAGTATTTTTTTTAATCATTTAGGTTTTTGTTTTGTTTTTGATACAGGGAAGAAAAGAGGATCTCATGCAGTCTAGGCTGGCATTGGGCTCACTATGTAGCCAAGGATTACCATAAATTCCAAATCCTTCTGCCTCCACCTCCCAAGTGCTGTGATTATGTAGCCTCCACACCTGGATCTTAAGGGTAAGTTTTGTATTATATATTGCCATATAATATATGCTTACATAAATACATTATAATTTAGATTTCTTTAATATTATACAAAGACTAAACCCCAGCCTGTTGTAGGTTGTGAAGCCTTTAGGAGATGGGGCCTATTTGTACATGGTACATGGTCTTGAAAGGCATACTAACTCCACCCCCCCCCAGCCTTTTCCTAGCTCTCATTTCCTGGCCACCATGAGGTGAGCAGCTTTGCTCTACATTTTACTCTCTGCTGTAACACTGCCTTTTCATGTGTCTAAAAACAATAGAGCCAAATGGCCATAGACTGTAGTCTATTATTAAATTGTAGGTGTAAATTAACCTTTCTTTCTGTTAAGCTGACTTATTTTAGTCATTTTGTCACAGTAATAGGAAGCTGACTAACTCAACAACCATAATTATGTATGATAACACATACAATTGATATATACATATAATATAATCAAAATGTACACATATTGATTATAGTATAGTTATGTACAAAGTCACATTTGTGTCAAAGGAAGACTCCTATATTACAGTGATCCCATATAATTTTATAATGTAGTGATGTTATAGCCACTCTGTGATGGTCACCTAATGATGAAATTGCCTAACAAATAATTTCTCAGAATGCATTTCCATTCTGAGAACCAAGAACCCACTTTCATAATCACAGGGTTGACAAACTTATCAAACAAACACAGTAAAGATACAGGATGCTTTGGACAAACCCCAGCAGAAGGAAAACTTCTGAATTTTTCCTGACTACCCCTTATGGACACACTTAAACAATGTTCTTGATGGGTTGAAGTGTCCTTGGTTACCTTCCAATATTTAAACAATAAGCCTGATCTGCTGTGTAAGATTCAGGTAACCAGTTAATATCTGTTAGGATTTCACTAATGAAAGTAAGGAAAGGCTGGTTAGAAAAGGCATTAAAGCCTGTGTTCCTGTTGACTTTAGTACATGTCCTATATAATGTCATCTCTTGAAAGTTGTTGATTTGGTACTATTACTTGGTATTTAAAAAGAATTGTCTTAGAACTACTATTCACAATACTTAAATATAAACTACTAGACTTGTTAAAATGTAGATATGCTCTAGTAGAACTTTATTGAGTACTGAAAATTTGCATTTCTCAATATGATCCTAGAGAATGCCAACACATTTGTCCTAATGTGTACTTTAATCAAGACAATTTAGGTCATAATCAATATATATTTTTATGGAGCTACCAAAGCTTTATCCAAATTCAGAATCTCTAGGAATTATGTCCACTAGTATAAGGTATATTTTAAACAATCTCCTACTAGGACTTCAGAATCACTATCAATAAGGTTGAAATGCCCTCTACTTTTTTCTTGACTTTTTTATTTTGTTTTTGAAATCCCAGTACAGATCCCTCCTGCTTGATTCTTTTACTGATCACTTCAGACGAATTTATTCCAACTTGATGTGGACCCTGTGTCCCTCTGTATGCTGCAGAAATGTGTTGCTTTTATTGATTGATAAATAAAAACGATTTGGTCAATGGCCAGGCAGAATAGAGCCAGGCTGGAAATCCAGAGACATGGAGAGACAGAAGACAGAGTCAGGGAGACACCATGTAGTGACCAGGGAAGCAGGATGTGACCTAACAAGCCACAAGCCTTATGGTAAAATATAGGATATTAGAAATGGGTTAATTTATATGTAGAGCTAGCCAATAAGAAGCCTGAGCCACTGGCTAAACAATTATAATTAATATTAAGCCTCAGAGTGATAATTTTTTAAGTGCCTGCAGGAACTGATGGGCAGGACAGAAAACATACAGCTACACCCATTTGCTCTTTATCATAGACTGAACATTCTTGCACATACCCTATCTCTCTACATTTTATTTCTTGGCATTTTGGTTGTGAGCCTAGCTTTAATAGCTGAAACACTGCTCCAACCCCAGATTTTATTTTGAGAATCAAATAATTATTTATAATCTTGTAGCATCAGAGCAAGGTAGTGGTGGCACACGCCTCAAATCCCAACACTCTGGAGGCAGAGGCAGGTGGATCTTTGTGAAATTGAGGCCAGCCTCATCTACAGAGCAAGTCCCATGACAGCCAGAGCTACACAGAGAAATTCCATCTCAAAAAACGCCCCCCTCCCCATGCTTGGGTTAGTTGTAACATACTTGATGTAATCACAGGTATCCCAAAGAAGGCACACCAAGAAAGTCGGGGAATTGGCAGGGTGTCCAGGCTAGAGAGAGCTACAGAGTAACCTGTCTTAAAAAACAAAGAAAATCGAGTGGTTCATAGGTGAGACCTTAAGTTATGTGACCTGAAAGATACACATTTTATAAAGGAGGCCAAGATGAGAAGAAATTATTTCCATTTGGAGGGAGTCCATTTTCTTTTTCTTCTGTATTCTTACTTCTATTGGTTTATGTATTTTATGGTTTTGTCCATCCTAAAAATTGTGTTAAATGCTGACCCATCCTTCTGACAACATTCTTACCTATGTTTCAGACATTTTGTTCTCCCTTCCTCTACTCTGTTGTTGCAGCTGAGCAATAGCACCTGCCTCTGAGGTGCTGTGACAGGTTGGAACCCTCAAGTATTTCTCCAGAACACTATTGCTTAGAAAATTCGGTTCGCCTCTCAGTTCCTTCTGAGTAAAGCGTACTGGAATATGCATACCACCTAGCTCCTAGGATGGATGAGATGACAGAAAACTGTCAAGCACCAAATAGATGCAAGTTGTTCCTCGCGATATTCCTTGTTTACCTTAATGCAGGAAGCTACCACTGTGCAGCTCAATTAAGAAGCTAAAGGATGGCGTCAGGAAACAGCCTTGGGGTAGTGCTTTTCCCATCTGAGGACAAGGGAAGGCAACTGGAGATCGGGGAAAGGGGAAAAACTACAACTCCCGCGAGTCTTTACGCGCGCCACTTTAGTCATCCCGGCAAAACGGAGCCCCGAGGCGAGGAGGGTGGGGCCTGCGCGCGCCGGGGGACTCTCCTAGTGAGCGATGAGGCGGGCTGCTGGAGGCACTGGGACACCAGGTGGAGACACACGTGCGAGTGTGGGGCGGGTAACAGGGGAAAGACAGCTGGGGAACAGCGTTAAAAAAAAATAAAGCCAGCTGTGCACACTCGCCTGAGCCGATAGTAAAAGCCCCTGCGGAGGCTCCGGGCGCGCGCTCGCGGGCTCGCGCCTCATGCCTCGGGCACTTGGGTCGGCAGGAGCGGGCGGGGGCGGGGCCTAAGGCGGCGCGGGCGAAGGCGGCGACCCAGACATCTGGGACTGTTGTTGTTCTCTCGCCTCACGCCCGCCTCAGTCAGTTCGAGCTGAGATCCGGAGCTGGTCTGCTGGGAGGCGGGCGGCAGTCTCCTCCCTCTCCCGAGGTTCGCTGAAGCGGCGGCAGGAGCTGGCGCTGACTGAACGCCTCGCGGTTGGTCGCCGATGCCCTTCCTCAAGGAGGGGGCGTCTGGATCCTGGTGAGCGCACCCAGAGCCCCCCGACTCGGTGTCTTCACCCGCCCCTCGGACCGGCACACCCGTGTGTCTGCCATGGCTGAGAACGCAGATGGTGACCTGAACTCTAACCTGCTCCACACCCCCTACCTCACCGGGGACCCCCAGCTAGACACCGCCATCCGGCAGTGGCTTCGTTGGGACAAGGTAGGTACCTGGTCACCCGAGCATCCGTCCCCTTTTCCTCCCACCCTCTCACAGTCCGCCCTTTCCGGTACCCACCCAGGGTTTTGCAGGCTCCAGGGGAGATGGCTCCGGCCACCGCAGGGCTAGCGGAGTTGGGCGATGCCTCTCACCTATGCAGGGGCTGCCTCCCTCAGGAGGTCTGGGCTGGGCAGCGACATCTGCAGCAGCTTTCCTTTTGCAATAGGCTACACTGCAGCCTATTTCCTTGTCACCCTCTTCTTTCCAGTGTGTATCATCTCTTATTCTCAAAACTGCATCATCCTCATCATATAAGTTATACTCCGCACACTCTGCATCCATTTCCTTTCCCCTTTCTTCCATGACTTCCTCCTTTGCCGAACCTGAAAGTGGCTTCTGGTACGTTTCTTGGACGTTACTAACCACTGTCTGCTTTGGTGTTGGTTTGGTGGCGTTTCCACCCTCTGTCACTAGGTAATCGCTGGTCTATTTCTCTCTATTTTTGATACCACCTTTTGCTCTGGAAAATGACAAGGGTTCTCCTCTTATTTCATTCCTCTACTGACAGTTATTTTCTGAAGTGTTCTGTTAAAGAATCATGGTCATAATACATCTTGACTAGCCTAACTATATTTTTAGAGTCTACACCATTGCTTCTCAAACCATAACATTCCAGCAGATCATCTGGGGATCTTAAAAGGCAGATGCTGACCAGATATTTAGAAATTCAGAATTGCTGTTACCTTGCCATGCCATCCTTACTGCACTCATCCTCTCCTTGTGCAGGCATATAAGGTGGATTGGTGAAAACTAGAATTAAAATGCAGCCTTTTCGCTTGTGAAAGAGGCACCTGGAGGCTCTCTCAGAGGACAAGATGATAATCAAGTGTTTGCTTTGTCAAGTATATATGATACAGCTGCTAAAGTAGAGAGCTCAGCACATTTTAAAAATGGTTAATAATTGAATTAAGGGGTTTGTATGTGAGATTGTTATGCAAAAGAACTACCTATATTAGCTTTATGAAACAGTTTATTTTCATTTTTTTTTCAGTCATTTATGCGTTCAAGAAGGAGAAAACAAATACTGAATGTTCTAGGCTGGTCAGGAAACACTGGTGGTGAGAAAGATAGAAAGAATTCTTGCCCTCAGCAAGCCTTCAGTTAGTAGATAAGGAAGCCCAGCAAATAAGCAATTACAATGAAGTGCTTGGTGTTACTGGGTTATATATATCTTACATGTCCTAATCATTCTTCCAGAAGTCTGAACGAGTGTTTCTCATACCTGAAAGTGCTAACAGATAATGTGGGAATCCTAAAAGGCAGTTCCTGACTAGACAGCTAGGGTGGGGCCTGACAATCAGCCTTAGTGAGCTTCCAGGTGATTGATACCAGTATTGCTGATCTGTGGACCACACTAACAATAGACTCTCTTTTCAGTAACAGCTTTGACTATGTTTTTCCTAATGAATGCCCTGGTTGAATGAATTAATACTTATTGTCTGTGCTATGCCCAGATACTGCTGAGATATAGACATATTTAAGAACTATAAAATGCATATAAAATAACAGGTACTGTAGCAATAAAAGAGGTTTCTGGCATTTAGTTCTTAATGGAAGTTCAAAAGTGAGAGTTATCTGTGAGGTGGGATAGTCAAAGAAGACTTTTTTTTTTTTTTTTTGGTGGTAGGATTTCTCTGTGTAGCCATGGTTGTCCTTTGTAGACCAGGCTGGCCTTGAACTCAGAGATCTCCCTGACTTTGCCTCCCGAGTGCTGGAATTAAAAGCGTGTACCACTGCCTTCCAGCTTTAAAGAAAACTTTTTGAGAACTTGGAATGCACATAAAAAGAACAGGAAAGCCTGAAGGGGAAAAATTAAATAAATGTAGACCACAATGAACATAAAAGAGGAGATGTTAAAGGCTCCCAAATAAAATATAAAGAACAAGTAATACGTGCCTTAACAGAACAGATTTAAATTTGATCTTGTTCTTAATGGGAGATGATGCCTTTATCTGAGAAACAAATGTTTATCTTCTGTAGATTGGTGCTTAAGTTAGGTAGGCTAAGCCCTAAGCCACTGAAATTTAGAGTACAAAATGAAATTTCAGTATTTCATTGTACATTGACGGTACATATAGTCTTTTAATACAGAGAGTCTGAGCTCAACCCCTTATTAATACCAATTAAGGAACCCTGATAATGCTGCTGATTCTTGAAGACTGATGAGGCAGGTATTAAGTTATAAATTGGTCTCAAGGTAATTTGCTATTTGCCACAATCACTAATATTATTGCTTTTAGACTTGGTGGCTTGGTGTACATTGAAAAGTCTCCATAAAAAAAAAGATGTTATTTGTGTTGAACTTTCTCAATTAGTTAACATTCAGATTTGCTAAGATGGAGAAGGAAGACTAAGAATTGGAAAGATAGAAACTTGAATGTATGTGGTTAACACATTTGTGTCTGCCAGAGCTTAAGGTACATATAGAGAAATCTTAGGAAAGGTATGTGAAAACAAGATTGTAGAAGAGCTTTAGTATATCTTTAGTGGACTTCAGCAAGTAAAAGTATGTGTGCCAGAAGATAGGCCCAGCATGGTGACTCTTACCTATAATCTCAGCACTTGAGAGGCTAATATAGGAGTTTGAGGCTAACCTGGACTACATAGTGAGTTTCATGTCAATCTAAACAGAGTGAGACTGTTGGTTTGTTTTTAAACAGATTTACTGGGGCTAGGCTACTTTTGTGTAGCAGCAGCAGGGACTTGGATCTGATCTCTAGGTTTTTGTTTAGTATATTAGTTTCCCTAGTCTCAAAATGAGTTCACTCAGCTCAAGATCATATAAGCTGATGACTGATTTAAGAGCAATGTTTTATTAGCTTATGGTTTATGGTATAAATGCAGTAGTCAAGTAGATATGTTTCTAATCCAGGCATTTGGTAGACACACCATAGGGAAGGCAAATAGCCCAAAGATTTTTGATGATCATGGAGCCAAATCAGAGGGAGTCAAATATATACCACAACATGATTGCATCCATCTCTGTATGGGGCTTTCTACTACTAAAACCCAGTAAGTCCATGGATCAAGAAATTCTTCCTATCAGTTGTGCACAAATAACTACCACCAACATTCTCTCTTCTGCTCTAGGTAAGGCTCATATCTCCTTCCTGTTTGTTTCAGTGCTTTCATGCATTGTCAAATTACAGACAAGCAGTCCTTGCCTAAAGTCCAGGTCCTTTAACATGATTCTGTGTGATGTGAATTTTAACCCTCTGTAAACAGTCATATATCTGAGATATTAAGCACTGGTAAAGCTTGGATGGGTATAGGGAGAGGAACTGGGACACGGGGCAGAGCTGCTCTGTTGATTGTAATAGCAACAGCAAAGGTCTTATATATTGACAACAATGTGGAGGCAGGAATTTGCCATGACAATTTAAGAAATAGTAAGTAGAATATTCTGGTCTCTGAATATGAAGTGGAAGTTAGGTTAGGCTTATATAGGACCTGGAAAAGGAAATAAAGGACATCAGTCTAAGCCAGCAATTTTTCAGATGTTTAACAATAGAGTATTTTTCAACAAACTGACCAGAACAAAAAGGCTGTGAATTAATTCCCCATGCCTCCTTTATTAGTATAAAGGATTTCACAGTGAGGCAGGAAGCCAGAGAGCAGAGAGGGGTAAGCCTTGCTTTTTAACTTTTCTCCTCTCCACTTAACTCTTCTCCTCTCTTCTGTAAATTACAGCTTATTCTTGTTAGTACTCAGCCACAAAATCCCCAGGGAAATGTCTCTGATGGTGACCCAGTTACTTCCCACTAAGACCCAACTCTTAAAAAGGTTCTACTGCCTTAGCACCTTCATGCTGAGGACCAAGCCTTTGATATGGGAAGCTTTGGGGTATAGGCCACATTTAGACTATAGCACTTTTCACAATCTGATAATTATATTATTAGTTCTTTAGTTATTCTTTTGAAAAATTAAATAATTTAATCTGTGTAAATAAAATCCACAGAACAATAACTTGTAGGCATAGAATCCCAACTGGCCATTCTAGTTTAGAAGATGCTGGCAAAAAAATATACTGTGTATACAAGACAGAGAAAGCTCATGCTAACTTCCCAGGAAAATCTCTGACCATTAATAAGTATATAAAGAAAATAGTTTGTACGGACAACAAGATAGAGCAGTAGGTACATATATAAAAAGAGGTCCAATGGAGAATATAAAAACCTCAAAATTATAAATTTAAAATAGAGAATTATTTCCTCATCAAATAAGAAAAAAGTGTGAAATATCAACTGGAAACAAGAATGAGCTCTAGGAAATGAAAAGAAAAAAGTGACCCCCTCCCTTTACCAAACACACACACATACATACATACATACACACACACACACACACACACACACGTTAAAGTTGAAGCAACAGAAAAAAAAAAAATAAGAGAAATGTTTGACATAGAATAAGAAATCCTGGCTGGTAAAATTATGTGCTAGATCCACAGTGTGCATCAAAAAATAATAGAATCTTAGAGAGGTTTGTTTGTTTTTTAAATAATTTACTTATTTTTGGTGTTTTGCCTGCATCGGTGTCTGTATAAGGGCATTGGATCCCTTGGAACAGGAGTTAAGAGAGAGTTGTGGGCTGCCATGTGGTTGCTGGGAATGGAACCCCAGGTCCTCTGGAAAGAGCAGTCAGTGCTCTTAACCACTGAGCTACTTTCCAGCCCCCTTGTTTTTGTTTCTTAAGGAATTAGTGATGTGGTGAAGATGGCATGCCATTTCTATCAACATCAGAAAAGCAATTAAGCAGTCACCTGTGAAGAAAGGAAGAGAGAGAATGAGACAAGTGGTTAGGCCGGCAGAAGCAAAAAAAAGGAAGGAAATAAGGCTGAGGGTGTAGCTCAGTGGTATAGTGCTTGCCTAGCAGGCATGGCACCATGAGGTTCTTTTTGTTTTTAAAAACAAACCTAAGTAAGTAAACTACTAATCAAAAAT